CATTTCTTTCTTGAGGAAACATACGAATTCGACTATTTTTCATTCAGTTTATCTCTTGACGACCATCGAAAATGTTTTTCAAATTTCACTCTTTTTCAGTTTTTCCCTACACTCAGCCATTGCCGCATTCACAGTTGCCAGTAGCAAGCGTTCCGATTTATCCGGAAAATTCATATCTGAGTGGTACTGTCCTGCCGGAATTGACAGCCACACCACCCGAAGATATCAACCCTCCATCAACTGAATTGGTCGAACCACCGTATGACAGTGATTCGGAAGATACTATTGACGAAGGCAGTGTCACTGAAGCTGAACTGTACAATACTGATGACACAACAGATGAACAAGCTGTAACTGAAGGTGATCATCATACAAGCCACATTTTTCTTACTCAGTCCTCGATGTGATGTATGAGAGATAAAGGATATCTGGTAATCGACGTTGTTAGATTGGATTTGTAGTGAATTCGCCATGTATTTCTTCAAAACTGGAATTTTTGATTGCCTTTTTTGATCGGTTGGCAATGTTTGCTTGAAATGTTTTTCAAATGTTGCTGAAGTCTTGGTTGTTGATTACCACTACATAAAATCTTAACTCATTATTAAAAAGTTATAAGTAAGAGAAATTGATGAACGTGTCAAATGATGGCACTGTTAGTTGTTTATTCGTGAATTTGTTTTGGCTTATCACAAGCGATTTGTTGTTGACTGTTGATGAAGATCAATCATTATTCAATCCGAATTCAGAAACAACGACGTTGTCAAATTATCTGAACGATGCCGACACGTACGGAAACGAAAAAACAGATGCCGTGGACTCGGATTCTAATGAAGTCTATGACAACTCAGCAGCACTCATCGACGATACTGCCACTTATTCACAGCAATACGAAGGTATTGATCAGTATCAAAATGGTGTGATTTTGATATCATCACCTCTTGCGATTTGAACTGAGAAAAAAACCAAATGAAGAGAAAATTTTGAAAGCTAATGCTAGCGACTC